ACGATTTAACATTTTTTGTTGTGTTTGTCGTGTTTTTCGTGTTATGTATGAATAAATATTAATTTAATGCATTGATTGTTATTTAATGTTATCCTTGTCGAGTTGTGTCGTGTTTGTCATTTTTTAATCGGCTCGTTTTCGTGTTAGTTCAAAAAAACCCGAGATCGTGTCGTGTCGTGTCGTGTCAGACAAAAACACGACACGATGGCCCGATTTGCCACCCCTAGTTTTTAATGCCTTTTTAAAGCTAGGGCTATAAACTAATTATTGACTTTTACAAAATTGGTCCCTAATATATTATAAATATAAAAATTAACCCTAAATTATATATGTGTATATACGTGTCACGTGTCAACACGAATTTGTATCGTGTCTAAACAGGTAAATTCGTGTTTGACATGTGTAAGACGCGAAACACGAATTTAAAATACATGTCAGACACGAATAAACACGAAACACGAATTTCTAAAATACATACACGGAAAACTCGTATCGTGTTCGTGTCGTGTATCAAATTTCCAGGTCTAGCCAAAAGAGCTCATGAAGATCATAGATTTGGAAAGGATAACTACTTGGGATTTCTACTTCCTCAACAATCACACATCCATGGCTAAAAGCATGCAAATAAACCCAAGAAGAGATCTAAGCCAAAACTAAGTAAGGTTAGAACTTTATACCCAAAAATGCGATGGAAATGGAAAAGAGAATCAAGATCTATGAGCTCCTTCTTGAATCACCACCTTGCACCAAGCTTCTCCTTCTTGAATGAGCTTCAAAGACACACCAAAACACACACAATGGACTCACAACACTCTTGGAGGCTCTAGGGTTCCGAGATTAGGGTTAGGGGATATGGAGGATGGAAATGAGGCCAACACTTGGAACATAAGGTGTTTAAATAGGGTGCAAAACCCTAAAATTAGGGTTTCCTAAATAGCGATCAACTCGTCGAGTTGGCTCCACCAACTCAACGAGTTTTCTCATTAAACTCGCGACCAAAACAACCTCTACTCGCCGAGTTAAGGCTCCTCAACTCATCGAGTAGACCTGCTAAATCCTCATGATTCTTCATCTTCAACTCGCCGAGTTGGCTCCTCCAACTCGTTGAATTCAACTTGAAATTGGCATAATTCCACAATTAACATTCTAGATTCCGGGTGTTACATATGGTCATGCATGGACGTAAAGTTAGCAACTTTACGTGGTATTTCAGCTTAAAGGGGTCAGATCTGTATCCTGGAACAAAGTCTTAATGGGTTAGGAGCTTAATCTTGAAGTCAGCTGAATTGGAAAAGTACGTTGGGCTTACAAGCCTGTACACACAGCGTACAAGCCTTCGAGCTAGTAGTTGAGTACGCCCAACGTACTCAGTCTGATGGCATCTCTATGTTGGGCTTTGGGTTGGGACTTCATTTTGGGCTTAGAAGGTTAGGGCTAGTTGGGCCATCTGATTTTGAATGTTTTGAGCTAGGGCACTCTATTGGGCCTTAGGCTAAGGCCCATGTGAAGGAATTGGGCGCAATTCGAAATTGGGCCATATTTTGGGCCTATTGGATTGTGGTTGTGGGCTCCTTTCTTGGACCAAGCTAGGTTAGGGATAAAATGATCTTTTTATCCCAAGTAGGGATTTTTGGTTATGATGTAGATCCTAAATGTTAATTAGTTTTTATTTGGCAATTGATAGCTCGGGGAGCTGTAGGACCAGCAGTCCGGGATCATTTGTTTCATTCAACTTTTCGAGGTGAGTCTTCCTCACAGGGTTTAGCGGGTCGAAGGCACCAATGTCGGCCTATGTTTATGATATGTTAGTATGCTAGCTGTCTTCGTGACTCTTGCATGTGTTATGTGTTATATGCTTACCGGGCTAGGGCCCGATGTCGGGCGGGGCCCGATGACCATTTGTATGCTATGTATCTTTGTGATTATTGCATGTGTGTGATTAATTGATATATCATATATGTATGCTGGGTGGGGCGTGATCTATTACCGAGCGGGGTTCGATGTCGGGCGGAGCCCAATGCCGGACGAGGTCCGATGCCGGGCGGGGACCCTTATATGTTTATTGTATGTATGGTATGTGCTATTTTAGGGAACTCACTAAGCTTTATGCTTATGGATGTAATTTATTTTTCAGGTACTTTCAGTTCCAAGGGGAAGAGCTCGGGTTGACTGCATCGCACACACCAAATGTATTATGTTTATGGGACATACTCTGATTTTGATGATATCTGACATATTTATTCTATTAGGATGTATGAAAAATGTTTTGGAATACTGTTTTTACTTAAATCAAAAATAAAATTTTTGGGTCATAATTTTAGGATGTTTCAAGTTGGTATCAGAGCCTTAGTTTGAGGGATTTGGGGCACACTCTCGGGTGTGTCTGAAATCAAACCGAGGATTTGGTTAAGTTTTCAAAAAGAAACATATTTTAAGAAAAAGTTTTCTAAAATAAGGAAAGGGTGTGGTGCATGAAATCATCCGAGATCAATTAAGTTATCCCAAAATACCCATACATGTTTATGATATGTTTTGAATTATGAATTTGTGAATCGCATGCTAGATTAGGGCTAAGGATCTAAGAGAGATGCCTCTGTATACCTGCTATATAATCTTATAGACTTGCATGCTAGTACCGATCAGTTAGCAATAGGAATGACCTGATTAGGTTATGCTTGGTTCTGATTACTTGATGCTCGAATGCTGCTTGCTTTGTGCTTTTAGGAAGTTCTAACTAGCTTCAGCTAACTAGTAGACGAATATGCTAAGTTACATATTATGAGAACTAAATAATTTTAGAGGGTTAGGTTTTAACTCTATTGCGCAGCTCTTCATTGAGTCCAACCGTTATAGTGTGAGACCTCTCATTCGAAGAATTATATAGTTTATGCAATATGTAATTATATTCGTGGGCTAGTTAGAGGAAGTTAACGGGAGTTCCTTCTGCAGCTGATGGCGGAGAGTGGTGTGGAGTTTGCCTTGGGAAAACCTAGGATGAGATATAGTGTTGGGAGCCTTATATGTGAGGAAATTATTGGATATAAGGCAACTCGGCTGAGTTAAGGCACTTCTTGAGGAAAGTATAGATAGATGTGGAAGGTAGTATGGGCCCGTACTACTGGAAGCAGAGGATCCGTACTCGATTCAAGGAGGCTTTCCATCAAACCGGGGAGCTTGTGGAGTTGTGTTTCCCCGATGTTTATATTTTGATGCGTATTCTGATAGTTTGTATTGGTCTATTTTCAGTATGGTGGTATTGCGAGGCAGACCAGTTGGCAGTTCCGGTATTGGGGAGGGTTCGGGCTCAGGTTCTGGAGCCAGGCAGTTTGATGACCAGATGAGGGAGTTCATCTCGTCTGAGATTACATGCAGTATCCTTGAGCAAACTCTTGTGATTTTTGGCACGGTCAAGGAGGGTATTCTAGAGATTCTTGATGAGCGGTTGAGCGCCTTTCGTGCTGAGATTGTGGCATTGGTCGGGACGCGTTCTCCGACTTTCAGGGAGTTCAGGGCATGTGGATCTCCGGATTATCATGGGGCAAGGGACCCCATTGCAAGCAGCAGGTGATTAGCTGATGTTCAGGGCATGTGGATCTCCGGATTAATTTTCATTGAGAGCATCCAACACAAATCAGTTCATTAGCTTGAAAATCGTCTTGTTTTTCAAGGAATTACCACATGATGTTTTAATTATTATGTGCATCATAATTGATCCGGGATGGCCCAACCGGTCATGTCAAACTTTGAAGGTATTATCATACCTTTTATTTTCAATAGCATGAGATTCAATCATTCTAATATTTGTATAATACAACCCAGAGGACAATATGAGTAATTTTCTTAAAAGACTTTTTTTTACCCGATATCATTTTTGTAATATTGAGATACTCTATATTACCATCATTAGTTGTTTCAACATGATATCCGTTAGACCGAATATCCTTAAAACTTAATAAATTTATTGGTGATTTGGATGAAAATAATGCATCGCAAATTGTAATTATTGTTCCTTATGGTAATATTATATTCGCTCTTCTGAAACCGTCAATCATTTTTACACTACCCGTTATTGTATTAACATTTGTTTCTCCAATTGATAAGTAAGCAAAATATTTTTCATTATTAAAAATGTTATATGTTGTTGCACTGTCTGCACACTACTAGAAAACAACCCTTTAATGACATGCAAACGATGACACACACTGATTTATGATACGCAAAAGCGCGTGACCTAAAAATAATGTCAGCTCTCCCAAAATTTGAAGGATTTAGGACACGCATTTTTGCGTGTCTTAAAATTAGTGTCACAAAAAAACACAGAGGGCACCGGTCGTAAAAAGTGTGTCGTCTAAATATGTCGTTTTATAATTTTAATGAAAGGCGCGTTCTTGGTCTTTTAATAGCTAGAGAGGGAAAACGAAATCCCTAAAAAATTATAAACCCCACCTGATGCATCTACTCCTTCTCCTTCGCATTTGTTGTATCGAAGAAACCCTATTAGTGTGGTTGCCAATCTTTCTCCCTTTCTCCATTTTTTTCGCCTTCAAGCTCTGAATTAGGGTTTACTTTAGCGATATATTCAACTTCTCTTACACCAGCATCCTAGCTCTCCGACCCTAAATTCGACGTTGCTACTCCGCCTCCTTTCTCCGGGCTCTTCCGCTCTTCGAAGATCGAATTGGCTTCACTCTCCACAACTCAGTCGTTCTTAAAAAAAGTCAATTCTCACATACGTCTCTCCTCTCATTCTACATGACCTTACACCGGTAATGTCACCAATCGCCATGGATGGTACTGGGAAGGTATATACATGCTTTTTCATTTTAGATATTTTTTATGTACTATGAGAACTAATGGTTGATATATCACACACTCAATTTGTCTACTCGTAAAGCTACTTTGGAGGGTTGTTATCATGAACACGAATCAGTTACTGATGCCCACAAGGTGCTCAACATAATGTCTCTGTTAGGACTGACGCCCACAAGCTGCTTGACATAATGTCTCTATTAGGTTTTCACCCAGATGAGACCACTTCTGGCGACCTGGACAAAGCTAGTAATGTATTGCCTTCAATTCCAAAGGAGCATCATATCAGGTATAGTTTAGTATATTAAAAATTGAGATAAACCAAAGAAATTTAATACATGAATATATTTTTTCGATAGTGTTGCTCATTTCTTGGAGTCACGTGGAATGATTGATGAAGCTTTAGAAGTTGCTACAGATCCTGATTATAGATTTGAACTAGCCATTCAGCTTGGTAAACTAGAGATTGCGAAGGTAAGCAAAAGATATTCCAATACTTGACTTTATGAATTATAATTAATAATAACATTTGTTTATGTGTATATAGGATATTGCACTAGTAGCATAAAGTGAGTCGAAATGGAAGCAATTGGGTGAATTAGCAATGTGTACTGGACTGTTATGTGTCATTTTCAATATAATTATTTTTGGTTTTAGATAAATAAATCTAAAATAATAATAATTTATAGAACATTGCAGTTGGAAATGGCTGAAGATTGTTTGAAACGTGCGAACTACTTAAGTGGTCTGCTTTTGCTCTATTCTTCTTTGGGAGATGCTGAAGAGATAGAAAAACTTGCACTTGTTGCAAAAGATCCAGATGCTTGGGTTGTAGCACTCTCTAAGAATCTCAGCCTGTGGTGGCCATGGGTACGCCACTCAATATTTATACTTTCCAAAACCCTAATTCTTTAACTTTCTTCTTTAAAATAACTTTAAACCATTTAATCTGCAGGTTGTTGAGGGTGATTTTCCATTAACCACAACTAAAGGGTACATTTATTTTCATTCATAAAAGTCAACACCTAATGTCATATTAATTTCAACTAAACTATAAATTATTTTCTCATGCAGAGTTGAAATGGAAACATACAAAGAACTTGACCCCACAATTCGTCTTGTAATCCTTAAAGAACTATGTGAGATCAGAGCTGATGTATTATATTCTCAAACCTTTCTTTTTTGTTTATAACTAGATTCTTTTATCATCAGGTGAAACTGTATGTTTCCGGAATGTGAAGCAGAATGTGTTGATGGAACGAGATGTTGAAAGGATTTCAAAGAAGGATGTTTTCGGAAGAGTAAATTCACACTCTTTACCACCTACGGGCAAGGTTCTAAATGGCGTGAGGCATGGCGTGGCGGCAAGGCCAAGCCTCAAGCTTAACGAGCCATGGCATTTTTCAAGGTGTGATGTAAGGCGGCGATTTTGTATTAATTTAAAATTATATTACCACATAAATATAAATTTATAACTACTTTTTAGAAGTGTTAGATCAATAACTAATAACAAAAGGTTAACAAAAACCACAATATTTGTATCTCCGATTAGAAAAGACATAACAAAGAGCAAAAAACCATGTCTCAAACGAAAAAACACGCGCCATAACACGCCATAACGCGCCATAACACGCCATATCACGCCTTGCCACGCGTCACGCCTAACAGCAACGTTATAAGGCTTTTTGTAACGGCGAATCCACGCCTCACACCATGGCCCGCCTTTTAGAACACTGCCTACGGGTAAAGGTCAAAATGACATACCTTTTGGTTCCCCAATTTAGATATCCATTTTTTTTATGTTACATATCCTCAGGTAACTCATCAAGACTTTCTTGTTTGATTAACTTTTCTTCTCAGGTTCAATCATGTTGTTCCTGTTCTAAAATGATGATTCTTTCAAGTCAGGAAAGAAGTTTATCAAGTTTATACACTTCGGCTGATAGAGGGCTTGGAGATCGGTTTGGAGGCCTCATCATTCAATTAAAACCAAAACCAAAACCACAATTTGCTTGATCAGCAATCCATCCTTAACTTTCATCAGGTATATATTTCATTAATTGGCATCATCTAGTTAATAAAGTAACATGCCAAGTAAAATACATAACACTAGATTCAGTAGAAGTTCATGTTGTGCTAGACCCCCATTCCATTAAAGTTCACATATGCAAGGAAGGCCAAAATGGGAAAGGGTATTTTAGATATTTTCTGTCAAAAGTTGTAATTGCAGGCTTTTTAGTACCTGGAAGTGCATGATTATTCTGAATTTGCTTGTTTCTTTATCATTTTTCTTAGCCTAGCATGATTTTCAATGGAATCTTTCCCTGGTACTCCATTTGATTGTTGTTCTTCATTGTTTTAAGTGAGTTATTGGCTCATCTGTTACTTTTTTTTATTGTTATTTTGATAGCATGTTGTCACTTGAATCAAACTTTTCCATTTTCAACCACGGAAAAAGCTAAAAAATAACCTACTTTATGAGATCAAAAATAGTAACCCATTAATTGGATACTTTTAGTTGGACTTATAAGTACCATACATTGCGATTAATAATTATAAATCTCTTGTATTTCCTTAAATTTAGTACAACCTACATATATATGACATTTCAAATGTTTTTGTTTGACATTTATATGCCTCAGGGTGGCGTTTGCTTTACTGGACTTGCAGACCCCATCCCCGAGTTCACATGGTGCAATCTCGTACCCTGCTACTGGAGTAGATGTGATGCATTGACATTACCCTTCCAACTCTCTACTCATCAAGTTTAGAGAAGTAACCTCGATCGATCATGGGTTCCATTAACAATGTTGGTGGTGGTGGAGGTAGGAACCACATAATTGATGCTCTTGGAAGGCTCTTGTAAGTATAAATAATAGTATATATAATCAATTTTCTTAATTTCAGCTTCATTTTTTGTACCTCTTTTTCATTATGATTAAATTAGTTCATTCGATTTGGAATTAATTTGTTATAAAAATTAGGACTCGTATCCTGCGACATATGGCTTCTGACCTGAACTTAAAGATGAGGAATGATGGGCATGTCAAGGTTTAATATCTATTGAGGCTCAACATAAAAATATCTGCCAATCTTCCAATAACTTCTCATACTTTTGATGATATTAAGGAGCTAACTACCATCTCCCATCTCCCTGTGTCTTTCTTTCTAGTTTTAGTAATTAATAAAAAAATATCATACTTTTCCCATGTTCTTGTTTTGTTAGTGTTTTCATTTGTGGGGTTGGTGAAAGGTTTCTTATTAGGAGAACTATTGGCATCAATTTATTGTAAATGTTTTGGAGTTTATTTATTTTAAAATTATTTGTGGGTTCCATTATATTTGTCATTTTTTTTCTAATGTGTTCTAATTCTTTTTTGCTTTTCATCTGGTTGTAATAAACATACATTAGGCTGTCAGATTGGATAACAAACAATATTATTACAGCAAGGGAAAATCTAATAATTACTGGTCTTTTCATAACTTGATCGAATTATATGTGAGATGGAATCATAATGTTAAAAAGATTATTCCATCTAATGAGTTGCTGCAACTGCTGGACAACTGGACAACAGGTTGGGATGGCAAAAAACCTGAAACCCGAGCATTTCAGGTTCGGAGCAGTGAATTGTTTATATATATATATATATATATATATATATATATATATATATATATATATATATATATATATATAAAGGTTCAAATGAGAACCTCTAAAGGTTAAGAACTCTAAGAACCATGTTTATTAACGATATTTTCACAACAATAAAATTTTATACTTAAGAGTATTACCCTATATACTTTTTCATTGTCTGATATTTTAAGAAACCATATCTCATATTCTCTCTCTCAACACAAAACTCAGCAATCTCCCCTCTCACCTTTTTTCCGGGCAGCTTCCGTCACCATTTTTTCCGGCCACCGTTGCTCCGTCATGAACAGTTATCAGATTTGAAACCACCACGATAATCACTACTTAAAACCACCACTGACGTCATATCTATTACCATCTGCACAGTCGTCTTCACCCGCTTTGCACAACTTGTTCGTCGCCACTCTTCGCCGCCATTCGTCGCTCCAGATCTGCAGTCGTCCGCCTCCGTTCGTCACACCAGCTTTGCAACCACTCGGCGCACCAGATCCACTACCGTAGCTTCCAGATCTGAGATATTCCTAAATCCGACGTTACATTAATCTGGTAAGATCTGATATATTTGGTTCGATTTCTTCATATCAGATTCCGCCACTATCACCGTCGACTACGGCTCCACCACCACTGCCGTCTCCCTCTCCTCTGATGCCTTCTACCTCTAAACAAAACAAACACTAACCTCATTTCCTCATATAACAATCTCTAGATCTACAATCTTCAGTGACATATCTACGATTTGTTGTAACAGATTTACAATTTACGTCAATAGATATACGAACTCGAGATGAAATCAGATCTTAAATCACGTACACAAACATATCCACAAAAAACGATAATGATAAGAAAGAAGGTAAAACAGATTTTGAGCTTGTTTTTTTTTAATTTATTAGTAATCTATGATGAAATCTATTGAATAATCAAATAGGTTTTCTTAAATCTTTTAAACCGTTTGCCGATGACTAGGGATGCAAGTCCGGTTGGAGTTTTTCCTATGATAAAGTTTTTGTATTCAAAATATGTTGCTTCTTCATTCACTGATGCAACTTTTTCAATGTAGGATAGAACGTGCCATAGATATTCTTTTGGGGATGTAGTTTTGAATTAATTTACAGTTTTACCCCTTTTATTAAAACGCCTTCTTTTGAATCGTTTAACATCAAATATTTTCTTCCTTTTTCATTTAACATTTCATAACACACATGTTTATATTTTAATCTCAATTTACTTATTTTTTTTGTTAATTATTATTGTACTAAGTTCAATTTAAACGAATTTTTTTTATTAATTATTATTTATTATATTATATTAAGTTGTGGAATTAACTATATTAAACTGTGAATTAATTATATTAAGATGTGATTTTTTTTAAGAAACATGTGTTAATATTTTTATGCATTTATTAATTATTAATTATTATATTATATTAAATTATAACTGTATTAAGTTGTGAATTAATTATATTAAACTGTGAATTAACTGTATTAAGATATGTATTTTTTAAGAAATTTGTGTTACGTTTTTTTTATAAATTTTGTGTTTGTATCTGAAATATGATATAAATAAGCATTATACAAAAATATGATTTTCTCTAATTTTGAATAAAATATGTAAAATTTAAACTGTGAATATTGTATAAGTTAAACTTTAAGAAAGCACTAGCCTCAAAGGTATTGATGTAAGTATTAAGTTGAGAATATGGTTATAAATGTATAATTATTTATATTTTAATCTCGAACTTGCATATTTGTTTGTTAATTATTACTATACTAAGTTCAATTTAAACATAACGTAACTTTTTTATTAATTATTATTATATTATATTATATTATGATGTGATTGTATTAAGTTGTAAATTAATTATATTAAACTGTGAATTAACAATATTAAGATGTAAATTTTTTGTGTATTAATCTATGAATTATATGTATTAAACTATGAATTGACTGTATTAAGTTGTGCTTTTTGTATATTAAACTGCGAATTGACTGTATTAAGTTGTGAATTGATCGTATTAAGCTGTGATTTTTTTTATATAAATTTTGTATTTGCTTTTGAAATATGAGATGACAGAAACATTATATACAAATCTGTTTTCTGTAATTTTGAATAAAGTATGTAAAATTTAAACTGTGAATATTGTGTAAATAAACTTTGAAAGAATCACTAGGCTCCATATATGAAAGTATAAATTTAAGTTTTAAGTTGAAAAAATGGTTATAAATGTATAAAATTTTGTGCATTAAACTATAAGTTTGTTATATTAAACTCTGAATTATGTGTATTAAACTATGAACTAACTGTATTAAACTGTAATTTTTATGTATTAAATTGTGAATTGACTATATTAAGTTGTTAATTGGTTGTATTAAGCGGTGCTTTTTTTTATGGATTTTATGTTTGCTTTTGAAACATGAAATGAAAGAATAATTATATATAAATACGATTTTCTCTAATTTTGAAAAGAAATATGTAAAATTTAAACTGTGAATATAGTGTAAATAAACTTTGAAAGAAGCACTTTGTTCTAGATCTGAAGGTATACATGTAAATTTTAAGTTGAAAATATGGTTATAAATGTATAAATTTTTTATATTAAACTGCGAACTTATTATATTAAGTTGTGAATTTTGTGTGTATTAAATTATGAATTAATTGTACAAGCTATGAATTAATTGTATTAAGTTGTAAATTTTGTTTATTAAACTATAAATTAAGTGTATTAAACTTATATTAAGTTGTGAATTCTTTATAAATTTTGTTTAGTTCTGTTAATATTAGTTTTAATTGTTATCTATAAGAAAATATAAGCTTTAAACAGTGAATTCATGAGTTTTAAAACTTTTAAGTTGTGAATTAGTTATGAACAAGTCTATTAAGCTGAGAATATGGTTGCGAATGTATAATTTTCAGGAATTAAATTGTAAATTTTACATTAATTGTGAAATTTATGTATTAAAATATGAGTTGATTTTATTAAGTTGTGAATTGAATGTATTAAGGTATTAATTAATTGTATTAAGTTGTGAATTTTTATATTAAACTATACATTTATTATATTAAGTTGTAAAATTGATGTATTAAAATGTGAATTCACTGTATTAAGCTTTGAATTGATTGTATTATGTTATAAATTAATTGTATTAAGTTGTGATTTTTTATGAACTTAATATGAGATAAAAGAAACATTATACACATATATGATTTTCTCTAATTTTGAATAAAATATGTAAATTTTAAACCGTGACTGTCGTGTAACTTAAACGTTGAAATATTAAATTGAGTTGTGAATTAGTGTCTGAAATGATGAATTATATTGTGAATTCGAATTTTTTTAACCAGATCTGATTTTTGAGGGAATGATGTTGGCGGTGTTGGCACAGATGGTTGGTGGTCGAGATGGTTGATTGCAGTGTATGATAGTTGGCGGCGTTAAGGCTAGTGGTGGTGGTAGAGTAAGGATATGTTATTCTTCTCACTCATCTTTGTCTTCTTCGCAGATTTCAGATAAGTTATCCACTTTTATGATTCATGCATATGTTTTTTTTACTATATTAAGCTGTGATTTTTTTTAACAATTTTGTGTTTGCTTCTTAAATATGTGAAGAAAGAAGCATTATACACAATATTAAGTTTTGAATTTACTGCATTTTGCTGTGATTTTTTTATTAATTTTGTGTTAAAATATGAATGATTTATGTATGAATTTTTGTATAAATATTCTTGTGAATATATATTTTTTTTGTGTTGTATACTTATGTAAGAATGTTTTAGTTTTTATAACTATTTTGTATTAAATTCAAAATAAGTAAATTAACAGGTTTATTAAACTATGATTGTAGTATTTAACATGTTATTGCATTACTTTATATGCAGATATGATTTGCAAGGAAGAATGGTTGCGATGCTGGCACAGGTGGTTCGTGGCGGCGTGTGTTGGTGGTGGTGGTGGTAGAGTTTGGGTTTGACAATTCTCTGAATTTGTGAATTAGTGTAAAGTTGATTGTATTAAGTTGTGAATTTTGTGTATTAAACTGTAAATGGATTGTATAAATTTGTATTTTATATAAATTTTGTGTTAAAATATGAATGAATGCCTGATTTTACCCTTTTCTTACCAAAAAGACAAAAATTTGGATTTTAACATATTTAGTAGTATTCATAATACATATTTACTTATGAAATGAGGGTTCTTATGGTTCTTAATCTTTTATGGTTCTCATTTGAACCACTCCCTCTATCTATATATATATATATATTATATATATATATATATATATATATATATATATATATATATATATTAACACCTTTGCATTACTATATGTATCTTCAATTTTATATTCTCCACTAAGTATTGAAACTTGTATGTTTAAAAGGCCATTTGGTTTCGTTAACCTCCACCAAAAACTCAATATTGTTTGTGTGTTTTTCAATTGGCACCATAAAATTTATTTTCTTGAGAGACTGTTTCACCATCTTGTTATTCCTATCATTTGGCATTGTTATCTTTGTTATTTATGTCGTGTTTAATATACTGTAAACAGTTTTTGTTAACTAATAATCGTACAATCCTTCTACAGCTCTTGTTTCAAGGCAATTTGTCGACATGTCTAAAATAAGAATTGAGGGACTTCTTACAGCTTTTCCTAAATTGATTGGAAGTGGGAAAAAACACACTTATGTTGAGACTGAAAATGTACGCTATGTGTATCACCCAATGGAGGGTATATATCTGTTGCTTGTTACAAACAAGCAAAGCAATATTCTTAAGGATCTTGATACACTGAGGCTTCTCTCTAAAGTTGTATCCTTTCAGTTATAGTTTTCTTTTTTGTTTTACATGTAAAAATCTTACTATCTTGTTTAAAAGGGTTACAAAATCTTCCTTAACTCTGCATAGGTCCTTGAGTTTTCTGCCTCTTTAGATGAAGAAGGGATTTGCAAGCATCTATTTGACTTTTTTACCCTTCCTTTTGTATCTCTTCTACAACAATTTTGCATTATTTTTTCAGATAGAGAGGGGAAAACTGGAAAAGGGTGGCTATTCATCTCTTCAATCCATGAGTTCAACAGGGTCAATGGGTTCAATTGGAAGAATGGATAATTCATTTAGCAATGATATGGGCATTTCAAGTGGTAATACATTTGGAGGTGGATCTGGATTTGGATTAACCTCTGATGTGGACTCCTTCTCAAGTAAATCTAAAGGTTGGCAACTGTTTATATCAACCAATCAGATATAAAATTTCTTTTTGGTTATTTACATTTTTTACCCTTTCAGGTCGTCCAACTGCTTCAGTTGCTGCTCCAGCTAAAGGCATGGGAATGAAATTTGGGAAATCCCAAAGAACAAACCAGTTCTTGGAATCACTGAAAGCTGAAGGAGACACATGGAACGTTCCATTTGGCATTTAGTTACTCTTCTAATATGGTGGGCACATTCAAGTTCATTTACCAGTTCTTTGTACTTTCATTTTTCAGCTTATACAACTTGATAAAAACTGTTCAATGCAAGAAACAACAACATGTGATATTTTTTAGAGTGGTTATATTCAATAAGAAGATTTGTACAAAACTTTTTATATGTTAATAACATGGAGATTACTTTTTATATGTTAATAACATGTGATATTTTTTAGAGTGATTATATTCAATAAGAAGATTTGTACAAAACTTTTTACTATTTATATCTACAGGAAGACTAAAGTATTGTTCTGTGATCAGGTTTTGACTCATCGTGTGGGGTCAATGTGTATGCTTTCATTAATATATTCTGAGATCTTGAAGATGCTTCGTATGTGGGGTCTTGTGAATTTTGATGTTGAAATATCTTCACCAAATGATTCTTATGGTTCTCCTAGAGGCTATCTCAAACAGAGAAGTACAGAGTCTGATCATCAACATATCATGACAACTGAATCACTGTTACTGAAGGTGGCTTCTGTCTTTTTTGTTGAGATATTCACTTGTAGGTTCATCTACTAATTTTCAGTTCTTTCTAATGTTCGTAACCACGTATATTAATGGTATAATATAGTGTATGGAACTCTGAATTTTTCACTGCTTTTTTTTAACTTATTTAGCATATTGGTTAAGTAGAAGAAAATCTGTAAATATATTTTTGATTTTATGCATATTAGAGTATTAGTACAGTAGTTTTTTTTATAGATTTGGGAAGTCAGCCATACTATATCTATTATTCATATAAGTTATTAATCTTTTATGTAGATTTTGAGAGACTTGAAGCATGATTTTTGGCCTTTTCAAAGTTAACCAAAGTAAAAGCCCATTTCTAAGAGCAGTAGAGGCTGCTAACTGCTCTAATAGATCCGCATATATTGAAAAAAGCTCCCTTTTAACTCCTGTTACTCTTTCTCTTAGATAATAGATGAACAAATATTTCATCATGAATCCTCAACCATGTTTTTATATTTATTTAATTATTTTTGGTGTATTTACATTTTACAGTGGATTGGAGGTGTCTAAAAAGCTAAAAAAAATCTTACATGCTTCTTGTTTTAATATTTTATACAAGTGTGGGCTGTATTGAAGCCTGGATTCTAGGCAAAAGGTATTTTACTAAAAGCTGAAAAATCTTACATGCTTCTTGTTTTAATATTTTATACAAGTATGGGTTGTATTGAAGCCTGGATTCTAGGTAAAAAGTATTTTACTACATGTGTATTAAATTTTAATATTTTATAACATAGATTGATGATGCTTGAAGCCTTTCTGAATACTAATGTGTTGATGATGAAAACAGGTATCATGTGGAAACAGAAGCATAACAATAAGAAGTAGAAACAAGAAGGTGTTCCTTAATAGCAATATAGTATTAGGTTATATAGTTAGGGAAAACCTCTTAATAACAATGTACAACCAGATCCCCTTAATACCAATTTATTACAATTTTTTGACATGATGTTATTGGATGAAATTGATTGTTTTGGTATATATTTGTTTTCATGTTTTTGTATTATGTGTAAATGAGTATTGTAAAGACGCGTCGTAAATGTATATCGTAAATGGTTGCTGAAGTTTATGACATGTATATTCGTGTCATCTTCATTTATGACAGGGGCTTTAATGATACATAATGCGTGTCCTAAACGCGCGTCGTAATGTTACGACACGCAAATGCGTGTCATCTTCCTTTATGACAGGGCCTTCCTTGACACGCAATGCATGTCGTACATGCACATCATAAATGTGTGTCGTAATTGTGCTTCGTAAATGCGTGTCGTAAATAGACGACACGCAAAAGCGTGTCGTCGTTCGTTATGACATGGCCTTCCTTGACACACATTTGCGTGTCGTCTGAGCGTTTTACGACACGCATTGCGTGTCGTAAAAGGCTGTTTTTGTAGTAGTGGCAATATATATCTTTCCAATTTCTCTTGCAAATATCCATATTTCTCTTCAATAATAAAAAAGCATAAGAATCATTTGACTTAGAAAAATAAAGCCATATTTTATTTCTTTGAGAAGATTGTGACGACATCATTTTTCATGAAACGACTATGACATAAAAGCATAAGAAATGACATGAAACAATACTACAAATTATTCTTCCATCACCACCACTTATCCCTTCTAGGTAGACAAGAAAAACGACAACATTCAAATATATTATTTATGGTTGATCTTCGTGAAAATCAATTTGAATAAAATTTGTTTCAATATAGTTTTTTTTCTTTATATTTTATAGAAGCTTGATAAAGATCAACAAAATGATTTTGAGAGCAGCATGTACGAGACCAATGACCAGTCATTCCACATCAGTGATAAATATTTTCAACTTTCTTTTTGTCTTGACCACTTTTATCATTAGGATGTGTGTTTTTGGTATTTTCCAACGTCTAGTGGTTACTTGCAATCTTGTTATTGTTGTTACCATAATTATGATGACCTCCACGACCTTGGTTACACCTATAACTATTATGATTATATGATATTGCATTCATTTTAGGGAATGGACTAGAACGGGTCGGGCGTGATTGATGATTTTTCATCAATAGTTCATTGTTTTATTCAACCACAAGAAGACATAATATTAATTCATAATATTTTTTTTTCTGTAGCATGGTTTTCCATACTGAAAATACTGATCAAAATAAAGACTTCTATGTTAAGGAATTGTTAGTTAAGAAATTCCATAAAATATGTAACGACCCAAATTTTATAAAGAAATTTTCATTTTAAAATAATCAACACAATTCCAGCATTAAGAAAATCCAGTCATAATTGTTTCAAAACATAGTTAAATACAACTTTTATTCCAAACATCAGAGTGTCCCGTGAAAAATGCCCGAAAGAGTGCACGCCGTGCCATCAAGCTTTGCCCTTGCCCTTGGGCTCAGAGGTACCTGAAACAAATCCACAATCTGTAAGCTAACGCTTAGTGAGTTCCCCAAAGCATACCCCAACACACAAGTCACATAACACATATATAACAACTGTAAAAGCTTCCTCTACCACATATCACATATCATCTTAGCTGTAAAGCTATCTCTACCATTAGCCATAAAGGCTATCTCTACCGTTAGCTATAAAAGCTATCTCTATCATTAGCCATAAATGTTATCTCTACCGTTAGCTATAAAGCTATCTTTACCATAGCCATATAGGTTATCTCTACCGCATATAACCACATAATCATGCCATATATCTCTACACAACAAGTATACCAACTATCACAAAATGGGTCGGCCTTGGTGCCTTAGACCCAATGGTATGGTAAGAAGACTCACCTCTCGAAGACTGAACTGGTAAGTTGAAGTCAAATATATCTCACACGTTGTTCCTTCTTAACTGCCTATAATCATCAAATGATTAACTTAGCACCATCTTATAAATACTCTCAGGTCAACCCTGGTCAAAGTCAAGGTCCATAGTCAAGGTCAACAGTCCATGTTGACTTCGACTCGTCGAGTATAACCAGCCACTCGTCGAGTTCCTTGCTTAACTCGTCAACTCGCCGAGTCATTTGGGTGACTCGTCGAGTTCCTTAATGTTCACGGCTTCAAACTCTCAACCGCAAACCCCTGGCCGAAAATCCTTTGGCTGTAAACTCCTTGGCCGCAAACTCCTTGGCCGACTCGTCGAGTCAATTAAAGGACTCGGCGAGTTCCTTTAGTCCTTCTCGTTTTCGGCCTTTTCCAGTGGGATCTAGAGTCCCAAACTTTAGATCTAGCCTTCCCTAGTGTAGATATCACGTAAAGTTGCAAACTTTACGTGCATGCAAGGTCTCACATGGCCCTAACACCAAAACTAGTCTTCATACAAGGTTTTAATGCATGGAAAGGGGTTAAGCTACATGAAGGAAGCAACTTTATGACATTGGGAACCTAAGGAGGTCCAGATCTGGAACCATATCCTTGTGATACGTCCAGATCCCAATTTGGACTCCAATTGCCCCAAAATGGGCATGTACTTGAAAGAGGAGAGATCTAAGAATCTATAGCTCAAGGTAACGACTTTTTAACTTAAAATGGTGACCAATACAGTGTAGATGTCGGATCCACTGATTCCCTTCTTTTTCCTTCTTCTAAATCCCTTCTTCAACACACCAAGTTTGCTAAACCAAGCTCTTCCTCTCACTCAAGGGGGTTTACAGCCGAAAACAGTTCTCTCTGGGATGATAAGGTGCTAGGGGAGGCCACAAGGGCAGATTATGACCCTTATATATGTTGCAATCCCCGAAATTAGGGTTTTCTCTTTACAGCTCCAACTGTCAGAGTCGGGCCTTCCGACTCGCCGAGTTGGTCCTGATCCGTGTCCAAGATTAAATGCCCCTACTCAACGAGTTGAACTCCTAACTCGTCGAGCCCATGCACAAACCCCCCCCCCCCCCCCGACATTAACTAAATCAATTAATACCTGAAACATGTGTTACAAGTCTCCCCCACTTGAACTAGACTTCGTCCTCGAAGTCTGCTGACCCAAACAATTTCGGGTAGTGCTCTCGCATCCCCTCTTCCGGCTCCCAAGTCCATTCGGAGCCCCTTCGGTGCTGTCATTGCACCTTTACCAGTCTTACTTCCTTATTCCGAAGAACCTTGGTCTTCCTATCAAGGATCGCAACGAGCTTCTCGATATAGTTCAGACTCTCATCCACCTGAATATCGCCCAATGAAATGACTGCGGACTCATCAGTGACACACTTCTGAAGCTGTGACACGTGGAAGGTGTTGTGAATCTGGCTAAGCTCCTCTGGCAGATCCAGGCGATATGCCACCTTGCCCACCCGGGCCATGATCCTGAACGGGCCTATGAACTGAGGCCCCAACTTTCCCCTCTTCCGAAACCTGATAATTCCTTTCCAGGGAGACACCTTCAGCAACACAAAATCCCCCACCTGGAACTCAAGATCCGATCGCCATCAGTCAACATAACTTTTCTGACGGCTCTGCGCGACCCGCAGCCGGTCGCGCACCTGCTGAATCAGTCTGGTTGTCTTGAGCACTACATCAGTGCTCCCCATGACCCGATTCCCAACCTCGTCCTAACACACCGGGGTCCTACACCGTCGGCCATATAACATCTCAAATGGAGCTCGGTCGATACTGGCATGATAGCTGTTATTGTACGAAAACTCTCAAATGGAGCTCGGTCGATACTGGCATGATAGTTCGGCCACATAACATCTCAAATGGAGCTCGGTCGATACTGGCATGATAGTTGTTATTGTACGAAAACTTTGCCAGTGGGAGGTACGTGTCCCAACTCCCTCCAAAATCCAGCACACATGCTCGAAGCATGTCCTCCAGTGTCTGGATTGTCCTCTTGCTCTGGCCGTCGGTCTGGGGGTGATACGTCGTACTAAAATGTAGCTGAGTACCCAGTTCCTCGTGGAACTTCTTCCAGAACCTGGATATGAACCGGACATCCCTGTCCGAGACTTCCGACACTGGCACCCCACCACTTCTCATACGTAAATATCCGCCAACTTCTCCGCGGATATACCCTCGGAAATCGGAATGAAG